GCGCTGGGGATTGAATCCATGGGTTTGAGCATTCAAGGCAGGCACTCTATCAAATGACATAGATCCCCAGTCCAGAAGTGTGTTTCTTTATTACAAAAATTCAACCTCACTAACTTAGTGAGGGCTTTGCTAACTTGCTGAGGCTAGTTTTGAACTGGTGTTTGTTCTGTATCATCCTCTGAAGTCACTGGGATTGTAGGCCTGCACTACTGCACCTGTCTAGTTAAAAATTCTTATGTACCTTTTTCTCCTTTCAGGTGTGTTCTTTTTGAGGGAGCAGGGGTGGGAGAGGGGTTTAAAATAGAATTCTACAACTTGGCTTTGGAAATGCTACCTGGGAAAAGAAATAGGAAAGATCTTGTTCCTTTGTGGTTGCAGAAAGTGAGTACGTTTCCCCAATACATGTGGCAGACTAATTGGTTCATTATAAAGATTCACCGAATCATGAGCTCTTATATTTTGCAGAGGAGGGCACAGGGACAGGCGAGAGTCAGATCCCAGGTCAGAGAATGTTTCACCAGAAGTCATCTTGTTCTCAGGGGTATGTTTCACCAGAATTTTCACCAGAATGTTTCACCAGAAGTCATCCTGTTCTCAGGAAGAAGGGTATATATTGGCTCTTGCTGTCAGTGGGTCGGAGTGCAGGGCCCTGGTTCAAGGAGAGAAATTTGAGTCAGTTTTGCTTAACAAGTATTTTTCTGATCCCTGAAAACAAAATTGGTTCCCTTATCACTTATGAGGGGAAAAAAAGAGGGGAGGGATTTTCAGGATCAATGTGTATCTGCCATGGGTTAAAAAGGGAACATCTTTTGAGTCATAATGGGAAGGGGTTTCTGTGCAGGAACTGCTCTAGCAGAATGCAGTGTTGGGGTTATTGAATCATAGATTTATTTTGCAGAATTCTCTTTGACACTTTCTTTTTCTTACATATCTTTTTATTTTGGCCAATCCTGAGTTGAGTCCTTTAAACTGAACCTAAGTGATGTGCTTTGCTAAAATCAAATCAGTGAAGTTGAGGAGGGGTGATGGGAGTTCCAGTTTATAGTTCTTGGCTCTCAGCAGTGTGGCTGGCCCTCCTGCCCTGCAGCTGGCATCTACAGTGGGGCAGTATTGTGGAGCTGACCCTGAACTAGGGTTTGTGCTGACTGGTGGTGTCAGAATTGAACTTTTGAGTGACTTGTGATTTTGGAGAACAGATTGGTGTTCATCAAACTCACATTGTAGGTGTCAGAAGTGGTTTCAGGAAAGAGGCCTCACTGGCCAGGACCTTCATGTGCCTCCTGGTGGGTGCTTGGGTGCCAGTGACAACTGAGGTCCTACAGGAGGGAACATTCCACTCTGGGGAGAGGAGAGCACAGTGACCTTCCAGAACCAAATGTCCCAGCTGCTCATGTTATCCTCATTCCCTAGGAGAAGCCACATGAGCTGCAACCTCTGTGAGAGTGGTCCCCAAGCGGAGATTCCTGGTGAACTGTGGATAAGAGGGTGCTTTCCTGAGCTGGTTTCTGTTGCTTTCTTTATCAAGTCTTGCTGCTGTACAATTCTAGTTTGTCCCAAGAATGTAGCAAGTTCATTTTTTTTTTCTTTCTTTTTTTCCTTTGGTAGTGGGGATTGAACTCAGGGGCACTCAACCAATGAGCCTCATCCCTGGCCCTTTTTGTGTAATTTCTTTTTTCTTTTTTATATAGCCATTGTCTCATTGCATTGCTTATGCCTCCCTGTTGTGAGCCTGGCTTTGATCTCATGATCCTTCTGCCTCTGGATCACAAGCCAGTGGGATAACAGGCATGTAACACCTCACCCGCCCAAGAATTTCATTCCTTCTTTAATGGAAGATTTTTATATTATGGATTAACATTTATTTGGATACAGTAATTTGATGTAACAAAGAACAGAGTTTTTGAAATAATTTTTCAATGCTCAGTTTAGTAAGAAGCTATATACCCATATATTCCTGTCCAAATAGGGGTGGGTTGGCCCTGCCTCTCTCAGGCTGCCTCTCTCCCTGCTCTCTCCAACCTCTGCCTGGAGGTGAGTGCAGTGCTAATTCTGTCTTTCCTTCTAGTTTAACCAGCTGTGAGGAAGCAGAATTTTTCTTAGTTCTGTCTTATTGAGTTTTCAGTACCTTAATGTTACCATTAGTGCTTTATCACTGGAGTTCTATAATGTGCAATGTGTAGTTTCTCTGCCTCAGTTGGTTAGACTCCTGTGCTGTCTGAGTCTTTGGGTCTCCCAATTTCCTTCCCTGTTCCTGCTTCAGGAACCTCACTTGTTTCTAGTTTCATTTTTATGTTTTTGACAATTTCATTCTATTTTTAAATTTGGTCCCCAAGTGTGCACCCTTTATAATTTTGTACACACAGGGAAATTCTCAGGTTATTGATTATGGATAAACTGCACTGTAGTATGTGGAGCAGCTCTCTCACTGTTCATCCTTGTGTGTTTACCCTCTTACCTGTCTATCCTTTTATACTTCCATGTGGCTATATATTGCTTTTCACTGAATACCATTAGCATGAGCAAATTTCTGTTTATATCCATGTTCTTTGAAATGGTTTTCAGTCATTTTCTCATTTTGAATTTATTTTTGAGGCTATATCTTTTACTTTTATTATTCTCTGCACTTGAATTTCTTTTTTTCTTGTAAAGACTGCAGACATCTGCCCTGAGGTAGGGTAGCCTTCTTGCACCCTATTGCAGTTTGATGGAGAAAACCCCTTTTTAATAAATGTGAGTGTATCACTCTCTTCTTTTGAATTTATCTTATAAAGAAAACCTACTGGACAGGGGGCATGGTGTATTTTGAGAGATAAATCCTTAGGTGTCCCCTCCTGGACACAGGGAATGAGTCCCCTTGGGCCAAATTTCAGCAGTCAGAGTGTGGCTGCCAACATGGGAATGTGTTTTCCCCTCTGTGTGTGGGTATTCATTCTGAACTGTGAGTGAGGCAGGCTCCTCACCTGAGCTGGTTCATGTGTTTTCTTTTGCTTTCACTGAGGTTTTTCTTTTCTTTTCTTTTTTTTTTTTTATTATTGTCATGTAATTAGTTTTTCATGCACTTAATACTTGTACTTCCTGATTGTCTTTATATTTTTCTGTCTGAAAATTAGTTGACAGAGTAAAAGTATGAGCAGGCCTTGCCCATGAAGCCCCGGCCTCTTCCCAAGTGATTTATACCTGGCTTCCTCCTTCCCAGTCAGGCCTGACCAGGCGGCACACACCTTCTCTGAGGTCAGGGTAGGCCGCCTTGGAACCAAGGCTGTAATTTCTCACATATGCCTGGGACTCTGTGCCCAGAAGAGCTTCCTAGCCAACAGGGCCTGCTTTGGAAAGCCAGGCTCAGCTCTGCATGAGTGGAAATGTCCCCCTGGTGGGGCAGGTCCTCTTGCAGGGAGGAAGTCCTGCCTGAAAAGGGCTTTTGCCAATACCTTGTCTTCCTGACCTACGAACTCAGGAGCGTGATGCATCTCCTGTCAGTCAGGGCCCCAGAGTGTGCATATTTGGGCTGGGGTGAGAAAGGGGTCTTGTGGAGCCCTGGTAGTTAGCAGTCAGCTGGTGGGAGGGGGTGGCCTTCTACAGCCTCAGAGGCCGGTATCTTTCACCCTATGGAGCTCAGAATCCATCTTCAGGACTGTGTCTTCTTTGCTGTGTGAGGCCCAAGTGGTTCTGGCTCACATTTGTCTCCCTGTGACCTGCAGGTGCTATGAGGTCCACAGAAAGGATGTCAGGTCTCCCCAGAAGACGGAAAATGGTGAGTGTGTGGGGCAGTTCAGGTGGGAGGTAGGCTTGTTAAAAGTGATGAACCAGCTGTGGCTGGCCTCTGGCCTCCCACTGTCATCTCTATAGTATCAGTGTCAGCCAAGAGTACCTGAGTCAGGTGCTACTTCAGCTCAGCCCTTGATGGCCATGGTGTGGGCTGGTGCAGGTGGGTTCCCAGTGTGCTGCTTGTCTGTAGCCACTTTGGCAGATCCCTCTCTGCCCAGCTGGACCCCAGCCCTAGGTTCTCAGTGTGAAGTGAAGGCAGCGGGTCTCAGGGGATCCTGCCTTAGGTGTGGGGCTCCTGGGTAGAAGATGCTGGTCTGAGGGGTCTGTATTTCTTCTTCTCAAGGAGTCACCCTCCTTTCCCCCTCCTATGCCCTACCAGGGCTTTTGGTACATTCTTAATATTCCTGTCCTTTTCTCATATTTACAGAT